GCTGCGCAGTAGGTCGAGAACTTGTTCGAGCTCAGCCAAAAACATGATGAGCACCACCTGGCCAGAACCGTCACCACAGGGCCGACCAGCAACGCATCGCGACTGCACCCACCCACCAACCCGCCCAAAAGCCCGACGCGAGAACGCAACACGTCCCGTGTTTTTCCCAGCGAGCCCCAATACTTTTCAGCATGCCGCGTTGAAGATGTTAATTATTCTGAAGCGGGCGCTTCGGGGGACTGCGCAGGCCATCGTGTTGCATCCCTTCTGCTTATCAGAAGTGTCGCTCGCCTGAGTAGGGCTTTTGCCACATCTCAGGACAAAGTGTCCTAACTTAATGCTCATGATTTAGGACATTGTAGCTGAAAACAGAAACCGTCAACACTTATTCTTTGCACCGCAAGCATCTGCCGAAGCTTGGGGAGGTTTTGCAGGAGCTCGACACTGCCATCACTCACCTAGGCTTCCACATCGAGCCGGGAACACAACTGCGGTTTGCGTCTATTTGTCCGAGGATGGGGTCAAAAGTTCGTAGTTCTGGGGATCCGGATGTGGTTTGGGGAGGCATCACCGTGTCATGCAAAGCCTCAAGGAGTTTTAAGGTATCTTAGAGATGACAGGTCGACAGCTGCAAACGGATTTTGGCACTTCGCGTTCAGAGATTGATTCATTCGACAGTTTTGAGATGTAGAACTAGAACGGAGCCAGTGCCTGCGACGTGTCTGAAAGACGGTCTAGGCCGTACCTGGCGAGCTTCGGTGTGGAGGCCAGACACGAAAGTCAAGCAGTGTGTCAGGTAAATCCCCGAACTGCGAAAGCTTAAGGGCCTTCGAGCCAACTCAACAATGTGGCAATTTGAGGCAGCCAGGTTCCGACAAGCGTTTCTAGGCAAATTGGATACGTGTTCATCTGATACCACGTAGCTTCGAAGTTGGGCATGCCATGCACCCGAAGCTAGCCCTAACCCAAAACTGTTTGTACATTCTGGATTCAGGGCTGACAAGCTATCGAGCACGACAATACGCCGTAAAACCTGGGCGTTTCTACTGCCCGCTTTCTTTGATTCGGGAGCTGCCCACCGTCACGGAACGGCATCATGGGCACCCATGACCAGAGACTGAGATTCCTTTGGGTCAGCCAATGAGGTAGCAGTCTCTGTTGGGACAAGTTCGGGGAACTCATGCACCAATTGCCAGCGACCCACACAACCAAGGACTATCAGCCAACACGGCTGACAACCACTCGATTCCGGGTTGACAAGCTGTCGAGCAAGAAAATACACCGTTGAGCCATGCGCGCGAGTAGTCTCTTTTCTGAGAGAGCTTGAGCGTCATATGCATGCAAAGAACACAAGTGGATCACTTCGGTATGTACACCAGTGGAAAATACGGGTAATGCCCGATTAGAAACAACATAGTTATGGCATTCTTTCCACCCCGAAGCCCCTTCACCGTTAGAAACTTTCAGAGACATGGGGTTGCGAGAGGTTGCATCTCCAGGACCGTTTTTGGCAAGGAGCACGCATATTCGTGGACATGTTTTTTCCACCTCAGTTGCAAAGAATGCGTTGCAGGTGTCCCAGAGCTGTGGCTTTTGAGACTACAGGTGGTTCCTGCCTGGAGTGCACCGCCAGGTTTCCCACAGAGGGCGCGCCGTAGTTCACCAGGCGGGAGACTTCTCCCAAAAAGGTTCCAGTTGCAAGGATTCTGGGGTTTCTTTCCCACGCAACTGCGGACCGACTATTCGGCATGCGATTGCTCGGCGCTTGCAAGGAACAAATTTTGACTACTTCGACCAAAGCCCTACGTCACTTGCTGTCGCATTTCGGGTTCGCTTTCAAGGACAGGGAACGATCTTCGTGTTTCGACTGTTTCGAGCACCTCTTTTGTTCTCGAGAACACACTCTCCCGCAGTGGCTTCGGCCATTTGTCTTGTCGAGCGTTTTTTTCTCTGCCTAAACACAGCTTGTCCGCGAACAGTTGGAGGTCACCGGAGGTCTAAATAAGTTCTCGTCCCGATGAAGGCTGGTCGAAACTCTCACAAACCAGGCAGGCGAGCCTGGCGAAGAGCGTGTTCCTCTCAACGACAAGGAGGTAGTGCCGACCTGTTCATTTGTTCCCAACGCTCCAATTCAGAGGCCTTCTTTCAAGGATACGGGGAATATTGATTTCCGTCATTGGTCTGCGGGTTCGGGCAGGCCGGACCTGGAATAACATTCCAGGTGCGCGAGTTGAGGCGGCATTAGGTAGTCCCGTCTTACACTTGTGAAGCCCTTGCTCAACCTTCTCCCCCTCCAGAATCCTTGAAAATCCGTCAGCCTGATGTGCCCGCCAAACCTCAAACCACTTGGCGGGCCTCCGGCAGTAAGTGTTGCCGCAGGACTTAGTAAAAACTAGAATCGAAAATTTTGGGTGTGAGGGGTGCAGGCCTTGGAATAAGGTGTTTTGATATCAACCATGGATGCTGGTGTGCATGCCCCTTTTGGCCAGGAAGATGCAAGGGTCATGAGGCTTTAATATTGCGGATGTTTGTGCAGCAATACGGAGACTGAATGGGACCATTCGCGCTGCTCAGCTTGGGCGGCGCAGCATTTTTTGTCCAAGTCGCACTGAGCATGACGAGCACAGCAGAGCCAAGCATGTCCTCATATTATATTTGGAGTCTGTGCTGTCTGACACGCTTGACATTCTTTAGATGTCTACATGTGGGCTTCATGGAGTTTGGGGTTGTGTGAGAGTCTAGGTACTTTGACTTGAGGATGCACGCTGTGGAAGCATGTTTCCCATGTGCCTACAGATTAGTTGCGTCTCATGGCTCCATGGCGTGTCTTGATGGACCAGGAACCTCTGGGCTGCAGGGTTTCAGGGCCTAACCTCCGAAACAGCACCGAGCAATGGCCCTTGAAAAGCACTCAGAACCCCATGCCCGGAGCACAACCTCAGCAGTTCGGAAAGCCCTGTAAGCTTCGCCCGGATGCATGGGACATGCAGTTTTCACATTATTCTTGTTGGACTGCCCCAAGGAGTGGGTGTGAAAGATAGGGTGCATTCAATTGGGCTGAACCCTGCCAACATGCTATCGAAATCGCACAGAAGGAATTCGTAGGACAAGCACTGTCCGTCGAAATCACAAACGAAGTCAAGAGGTGAAGATACTGAGCCTGAAAACCCTCAACCCTGGACTCCTTACGTCGAGCCCAACCACCTCTGCATCTTGAAATCCCACCCCAGGCCCGAAGCTCCCACCAAAGAGGAGACTGGAAGAATGTTTCGGCTTGGCCTCGGAGGGGAGGCACCCGAAACTTGGGTACAACTGTGAAGAAGTGATCGGGTTTGGGGTTCAAGGCCTGGGCATCTCTGGAAAACCTTGCGAGGAACAGCCACGTGCCGTTGATCACCAAAAGATCTTGCCCAGTGGTCTCTTTGTGATGAGGGTTGCTCTCAAAGTGTTGTTCCAATTATTGCCCTAGAAGCCGGCGCAGGTTTCAGGGGGCTTGCGTGATTTTTCTGTCTCAGTTGACATACGATGGGTGCTCCATCCTACACAAGCCCTCATTCCTGAAACCTTGGTACCTTTAGGGAATTGATTCCCATTGATTCCAGGCATTTTCTCCGCCTTTGGCGCGTCTGTGGATGCGTTGATGAAGGAGCTTCGCGGTGGTGATGGGTTTGGAGAGTCACTTTCGGAGGGTTTGTTGGGATGCGCACCCATCTTTACACCGAGATGTGTGCTGGGATCTTTGCCTTCGAAACCTTTTTCAGTTAAACTTGGCCCTGAACAAATCATGTACGCCAGATCCACATTTTTTTCGCAAGGGTTGAGGTCCTGGCTCCAGGGGCGAGCCTTTGGCTTCCAAGCCCGACTCCACCAACACTGGACTCTTTGGATTTAGGGTTCGGCTGGGGTTGCAGTTTGAGAGCCTGGGCTTTCTGGCAGATGCGCTCAAATGTGGGCAAGGAATCCAATACAAGCAGCTGTAGGCGAATCAGATGATAGCAGGTACTCATTCAACTTCACAATATGCCAGGCTGCCGTTTAGCCTCGATCTGAAACTGTACTCACTGATTTGATGGCAGCAATCTCGTTCCAGGGCAGGGCAGCTTCAGACGTCTGGCTGCCGCGACACTCTTGGTATGCATGGTCTGCCTCAAGCGGCAACCTTTGGTGGTTTTCGCATGATTTACGATGCATAGAACGCCAGTGCTTCCCCCGGTATGCAGGAAACATGAGGTTGCCAATGCTAACTGTCAAACAGATGTAAGTTCAAGAATACAGCCCTTAAAGAATGGAATCATGATGGGCCGGAACCTGGGACCTGGGGCCGAAAGGGATGAGAAAGCCCCCATCCCCAACTGAAGCAGAAACTATTCCCAAGTTTCTTCTGTGCTCGTTCCGAATGGAAATTCATTTCGTGCCATCCAGTGCTCAAGCACTTCGTTACGGTAGCCGGGACTCCAGCACTTGCGCATCAATCCAAGTTGTTTCAAACTGAGGGACCGTACACATGCTTGTGTCCGTCACGATAAAGCTTGCGTTCAACGCCATGGCCGCGGCTGAAGATCGTGTGTGTGCACAACATGGCTGCTAGACAAAATGTCTTCTTGGCAGCCATTGCCAAAGGCACGTTCTTGCATTCAGCAGCTTCTTCAGAGACATGGACACCTTGGACCTTAACGGCCGCAGATGGATGCTCCGAACCGGAGAGGTACCGCGAGGGAGGCTAAAAGGTTGGGAAACTGCCAAAGTTGCCCTGTTCAAACCACCACGAATCTTGACCCCTTCGTCCGTGCACAGCCATGCAGGATTGCGCGTGCAAAATCATTGGATCTCATTGTTGCCAGACACCTCGGAGGGATGCTCGGAGGAGGACCTGGCATCCGAGCAGTTGAGCACCCAGCATGGCTTGTTTGTACGTGGTTCTTCCGGTCCTGCGCAGGGCGGATAGTGGGTTTTGTGGGTTTTCAGGTATAGATTCTGGCATCTGTGGAGCGTGACGAGTCATGCTGAGGACTGGCAAAATTGTCATAGTCAGGCAAGACTGTTGCCGTGAGAAGCTCCTAAAGCATGACATACCCGATGATGCCGAGGTTGTGCAGGTTTTGCGCCAGCTTCTTGACACGTTCAAGGTCAGGACCTTGCTGGACGCTCCCTGTGGAAATATGACCTGGATGCCAGAAGTTAACTTAACGGGCGTGCAGTACTTTGGCGGTGACTGGTCGGCCTCGCTCGTGTCCAGGAATCTGAAGACTTTTGCTGGAGACCCCCGGTTCGCGAACAAGTTCGGAGTCGTTGACATCACGTGTATGATACCTCCACGAGTTGATATGATCCACACCCGGCACGCTTTCATGCACATGGACTCGGGCTTATCATGGCGCGCCTTGCAAAATTTTGAAAAGAGTGGCTCCAATTATCTTGTGATTCCACATTGGCCTTCTTCAGATGGGTCATGGCAGCAGTACCAGGCTTCACAGGCCACGTCTGGTGTGAGGGAAGAACCTCAACCGTACAATCTGGAGCTGCCTCCCTTCTGCTTGCCTCCTCCAGTGGATTTGATACCAGACGCTATGCAAAATAGCTGCCTGGCATTGAGTTTGCAGGGCGGGGGGGGGGGGGGGTGGGGCATCCATGGCCAGAATGCCCTGAAAGCCCAAATTAGCGTAGTAGGAGAACATTGGGTTTAGCAGAGACATGCTGCGCAATATGCTTCTTAGGCAACGAAGTTCTAGAATGCTGCGAAGTTTTTTTTCAGATTCCGTGAGACCGAAGGTTGGCTAGGGGTCTGGAAGCTGCCTGCGCTGGGTCGGGGGACACGGCCGGAGTGTCAGCCCGGAGGTCCATTTGTGAGCAGGTTTTGTCCCAAGCGTTTCAGCTGTTTTCAGAACTTTCAGGAAAGGGACGAATGCCTTACAGGGAGGCTGGGGCGGCTGGGGCCAGCCCCTCCTTTGTGCTGCAGGGCCTCAAGGCTCATTCTTCGGTTGCACCAGTTGGACATGCTCAACTCCTTCACGGAGCCCAGTGATGTTCGGCATTTGTGCAGGCAGTTCTTGCACATGCCGAAGGGGACGCACGAAGTGGAAGACCAGCTTACGCATTGCTCACGGGCAATGCTGGCAATGTCTGTATTCAGCAACGTGGCACTGCGCACTGGACAGCATGGCGAAAACGAGACGTGTTCGGAATCATCCATACAAGCAAGGTATCCGGCACCTCGATTTGAAACTGGTTTTAACAAGGCGCTCATCGACGACAACATGTTCCGCTGGCAGTCTGCCTATTTTCACCGTTTGCCCGCGGGCAAGGCGGCGCAGTACCGCCTGATGGTAGCACAGCTTTTTCAGTCAATGCGAAACCACACGAACATGTGCTTAACGCTTGGACACATGTGCGCTGTTTACAATCATTGGGAGCCGCATCGATGCTTTGTTCATCATCCATTGGTTCAGGCTTGGTCTCCATCGTGCATGCGCGAGAAGCCTCGCATCCCTGTCTTGGCAAGAGGCTGGCGAGGCGGTGTCGCCCTGGACTGGTTAGGGCTTCACGTTAATTGTTCCAGCTCGGCACAGATGCAGCCTGAGATGACTCGTCGGCTGGAGTGTGCAGGCCTGGCATGGGGGCCCGTAATCGGTGAAGATTACTTTGAAAGCATCTCTCTTCTGCAGGCGGTTTCGGCTGCGACAACATCGTTTGTAGTGGTGGAAGCAGGCTCCCATATGGGCTATTGGACATTGAAGGCTGCGAAAGCCTTCCGACGGCGCTTCCCAGAAGTGAGCAGTGCTAGTTGCCACTTGGTGCTAATCGAGTCGACAATTCCCACAGTCCTTGCGGCTGACAACCTCAAGCAGAATGGGATTTACGACTTATGCAACATCACCTTTTACCAAAGCTATGCGGATTCAGGACTGCTGGACTGGCTCATTCATGCTTTTGGCCGCATTGACCTCTTGCATGTCGACATCCAGCGCGCAGAGCTGGAGCTGATTGCGGGTAGCCACAACCTGCCGATCCTTGGACAAAATAGTTCGACTGTTTTCAAATGTGTTCTTAGCTTCTAAGAAGAGGTGACATGGTATCAAGCCTTATTCGTACTCATAGGGCAGTGGGTTTGAGATATTATTGATATTATAGAAGTTCCTGAGCGCCACATCGAGTGCTCCCAGAGAATCCCGCGTACATGTCAAATGTGGGAACTTTCCTTCGTTTTGGGGAAGCGCATGCGAGCACATGCCTTCATAAACAGCCTCGGCAAAAAAGAGAACATTACCCCAGATGCCTGTGCTTCTAGTAACAATCCCCGTATGTCTTGTTCCTTATTTGTTATACTGGTGTCCTTTTGGGGATACACTAACAGCACCCATGCTTCTAATGAAACTCCGAAAAAGAGAAGATTACACTTCAAAAACCATGCTTCGAATACAATCCCACGAGAAAGAGAATATGACACTTCGTCCACACCCACAACCCCAAATATGCCTCAAACGCCCACACGGCATACATGTCAAACAAAATTGGGGCGAAGCTCTCGGTTGTTTTCTGTGCTGGAATCTGCCGAGCCGCCTTTCCTGTTCCGATCATGAACAGATGTCTGTTCATAACCTGTTACAGGGCAGCCCAAACCCTCAACCTTCCCAACAGCGAAAAACCCTACAGCCCGGAACGCAGACCGCTCCTCCACAAATGTGATCAATCTGAGGCCCGAGTCCCACTTCTCCCAAAATCTTGTCAGTTTAAGTTCAGCTAGCGCCATTGCTATGCCATTGCTATTAACACCCTTGAGTCCCTCCACTTCCCTCCATTTGATGTGTGGTTCCTGGCTGCTCTGCGCTCAGTGTGATTGATGGCTTGCACAGGAATGTCCATCAGATCCACGTGGGAACGCACCTGCCGAGCATTCATCAGAGACTGCGGGCCTGGCTACTTGTGCACGGTTTTGCATTGGATGCTGACTACCCTCCCAGAACTTTCGTCCGGACGCCGTATGGCCCACTCGTTTTGGATGATGGCATTCTTGCAGGGCGACAGGGAAAAAGGTAAGCGAGTGCAATCGTGACAGCACGGGGCATATGCAGTTCGAGGTATTCCATACATGCGCCGCTGTCACGAAGAACAACTGAAACCCGCAGCCACAACCCCAACGACAAGCACCAGCAAAAACAATAACAACAATCGGCACAGACATCATTCATCACTATCAAGTCACCAGAGTACGCAACCACAACCACAGCATCACCATCTGATTCCCGATTTTGGTCACACCACCCACACACACACACACACACACACACACACACACACACACACACACACACACGTGCGCACGCACAGGCGCGCGCACGGACGCAGGCACGCACGCTCGCACCCACCCAACCATCCACCCACCCGCACCCCGAACCCGAAACCCGACACCCATAGAGAAACAAATAACGACACGATGAAGCGCCTCAATTCTTAATCACCGGCATTCGAGGTTAGATGTCGGGGGCTGGGTTTGTGGAACTTTTTACCTTAAGATGCAACTGGCCTTCGGGGGGTGAGTGACAGGCAGAAGCTGATGTGCAGCACGTTCCGGACGAGGTGACCTGGAAAAGCGATATGAGGGATGATAAAAGCCCCCGGTATTGAAAAATAAAGGGAAGCGCTCCGAAATGATCAGATGTGCATTTTGCTCCGGGAAAAACGATAACAGTAAACAGAACGATAACGTTCAGGATGATGCTAAAACTCGAGAAAACGATAAGAGTAAACAAGAACAAATACGTACGTAATTCAGGCATATCTTCCGGGATAGGGGTGTATTCACACATCCTCATATCTCAAATACTACAGAGGCTCAGAAGCCTGAAGAATAAGTCAAAGCCTCCTAAACGTTCGTTCCAACACACCCAAAGCCCCGGAGTCAAAGCCAAGAAGCGCTTGAGGGGCTTTTGGGCTGTTTACGAGTCAGGAGTAGGAGAACTGCAGGTCTGCACCTCCGTACTGCAAGGATGTGCTTCGAAGTCGAAAGCAGAGTCAATCACACCCCAAATCAGTATCATCCCGGAACGTGTTGTACTACTTCCAGAATCCGATATGCCCGAATCCAAAACCTCAAGGCGGCGGGCTCCACAATTTGGCGTCGGCGTCGTCACGCCCAGGACGTAGCTTTACAGGGCTGGTGAATTCTGTGAGTTTTTTTGCTTTTCGGATTTCGGTCAGTCAAAAGTTGTAGACTGGTATGTGCATGATGGCACCTGCATCAGTGAGAATGGAGTTGAAGACTGAGGCTTGCTGGCGTGTTGCGGTTTGAGGTTCCAGTGTGGAAGTTGAGGCCAAATCAGTCCCCTGTATTGATCACAACGGAAAGGCCTAACGATGCATGCCACCGTAGAAATTTTCAGTATCGCAGCTTTCTCACTCATACATCCGCTCATATGTCATACACGGCATCTTAAATCCCTAGACACACTATTCACCGGCAGGAGCTGGGCAGACGAGCTTTGAACCTCGGCTTGGGATGTTGCTTGCTTACATCAAACTCCCTGCAAGCCCGCATGAGCATGATGAGCATTCATGTACAGCTACTCGGCCCTTCAGGAAGTTGTGGCAGGGCCTCGGCGAAACAGTGCGCATGATGCAGGCGCAGACACGACCTAGCAGTTGTTAAGACCTAAGCCCAAGGAATCTTCCAGGCACGTTTTATTATGACATGACGGTGACTATCAAAGCGAAATCGCAAGAGGCTGAAATGCTGAATGTCGAACAAGTTTGTCAATACAGCACCTGGGCAAAGTTCTGCGCCCTGGTTGGGCACACTCGCAAGGCAACCACTTTCCAGCAGACTACAAGACCCTCTTTTGGATGCTCGGTAGACATCTCCCAAACTTGGAGCACCGCGGGAACCGAGCCCGAAAAACTGCACAGCACAAAACTCCAATTCCTGACGGACAACACCGTGATAGCCAAAAGCCGCCCAAGCGGACGGGACCGTAACGACAGCCAAAAGCCGCACAAGCGGACGAGATCGTGACTGCCAAAAGCCGCCCAAGCGGACAGAACCGTGACTGCCAAAAGCCGCCCAAGCGGACAGAACCGTGACAGCCAAAAGCCGCCCAAGCGGACAACACCGTAACGACAGCCAAAAGTCGCCCAAGCGGGCGAGACCGTGACAGCCAAAAGCCGCCCAAGCGGACAACACCGTAACGACAGCCAAAAGTCGCCCAAGCGGGCGAGACCGTGACAGCCAAAAGCCGCCCAAGCGGACAACACCGTAACGACAGCCAAAAGCCGCGCCAAAGCGGGCGAGACCGTGACAGTCAAAAGCCGCCCAACCGGGCGAGAGCGTAACGACAGCCGAAAGCCGCCCAAGCACTGCCTTAAGCTTTTGAACCAAGCACGTGCTCTTTGGCAGGACACCCCTGCAGAGCTTGGTCACGCTACGCTGGCGATCTCCATCTGCACTTCGCCATTGGACCTGCACTAAAGCTGAAATTGTGAGTTCGGGGTGTTTTGTGGTGCTGTTGCTTCAGGAAGCCCGTTAATCCTAAATTTTTTCCGTCGGGCAACCCGCAGCCTTTAAGTCCATTCGGCCATTAATGAGGAGAGAAGCTGTTGAGGTGTGGATGAAGGGTGCTTGAAGAAATGCTGCCTAGGCTCCGCTAAGCCCGCTCAACTCGGTAAGCCCGTTCCATGACATTTCGGCACGGATCAGCGGCATGTTAGCCCAATTTAGTGCTTGCCGGTACATTGCAACATCCCTCGGCACAATCTGCGCATTGCAGTACAAGTCGATTACAACCTCCAGGCACTGAGCCCATGTCCAGTGTTAATCTGCCCTGTGCTCGTTGCAAAGCTCGCCAAGCCCATGAAGGGGCAAGCGTGTTGAACCTTCCGGCCTGAACACATGATCTTGGCCTGAAGGCTGACAGATCTTGCCAGCCTTTGTGCGGGCAATTTCTTGGATGCCGAGTTGCGCCTGCACGAGGCCCTTCAAGACCTCAACTACTTTGCTTGCGAGTGCTGTTTCGATGTATGCAAGGCCTGAATGGCCTAAGAACAACATGGTTGGGTGGCGAGACTGTCTTTGGAGTTGCTGCTTGCCTACTTAGCCCAACATATCCCAACATCATCTTGCGTGCTGCCATGCGCGATGCTTCTCGCTTCAACCAGAAGCCATGGGACACTGCACTGTGTGTGGTGTGGGCTCTCCTGCTTTGCTGGGTGGGACCTAGGTGGTTCTTGTCAGGTTCACACCCTCGTTCTGTGATTCTTGGCTTCCCCGCCACGCAGTCCCACGCACGATGTGAACTTCCCGGTTTGTTTTGATCTCAGTGGAGCTCCATCCAAGTCTGGGAGTCACCCTGCCAGGTATTGGTGCAAACTCATGGCTGTGTACCTGAAGCATGTGGAATCCGGATGAACATCTCCTGCAAAGATAGATTGCCGAGGTGTAGTCGGAATAACCAAGCTTCCTCATTTTGTCTTTTGATCAGTCGTATGCTCATGGCATGTTCTCACTGCCAGTAGCTATATATAGCCTACGACGGGTTCTGCACTGCCTGCTCCCGGAGCAGGATTTCGGTCCTTTCCGTGCAGGATGGCGTGTTCTCCACATCCAGGATCCTGGAATCTGCTTCAATCTGCCCTGTAGATTGCTGTAGGTGGCAAGTTTCTGTTGCTGGTTTAATTCCAAGCCTGAACACTGGTCATAAGGTGGCAAATCGACACCGTTTTTGGACGACCTCTTGTCATCAAAATACGGCCTGGCGGTCTAAACTTACAACCCGCTTCAAGTATGTTGGGGGGACCGGTAGACCGTTTGTAGTTGAATGCATGCCCAATAGTCGCTGCAAAGAACTTGCCACCAGAATTGAGTTGCGCTGCAAGATATCGCAGTGCAACTGCGGACAAGTGTCCGGCTGAACCCCGCAGTTTTGGGATTCCTGAACAGTGGCGCCCACAGCCCTTGCCCGAAGCCTTGAATCTCAACTCTAAACTCAGCACCTAGAAACCAGCATGACGTCGATGGTAGATGACGTCAGTTTTTCGAGCGTGGGTTGAGTTAAGCGCCATGAAGTCACGGCATTGAGTTTTAATGGTAGCGTGACGTGCGTGCGCGCACGCGCCCCATCTCTGAAGCCTAAAGCCTGAGACTGATAATTAGGCCCTGGGCACCATTGTCCAATACATTCTTTGAAAGACTTACCACATAGTCGCCCCTAATGCAGGCCCATGCAAGTCACCCACGAGCAAGAAGGCAGAAGAACAGTCTTTGACATGTTCGGTGCGGTTGTTACCCGGTTGTTTATCCAGAAAAAATGCTTCGAGATCTGCCACCTGTTGAGCTTCGTGCCCCTCTTAACCCCAACTTATGTGCCTGCGTGTCTTGGTCCCACAGCATGCACTGACTTGCTGTAGGACCGATCCCCCAGCACTTGGGCCTACGCAGACTGTGGTCCTACAGAGGAGCTTCCGTAGACTACGATCCCCTAAGATTAGTGTCTAAGCCCGAATAACCGAGCGCATGCATGCCTTTTGCATGAACGGTATTCACAGACTGGTGTTTGCACATGTTTGCATCGCCGACGTCACTGCCCGGGGCCCTGGCTGTTTGGCATTATACGGCGTCTCTGCATAGTACAGCCAAAATTTTCGGCTTTCCAAAATGTCCTTTAATAGCGAAGGTCTCTAATAGTTCATGTCAAGGTGCGGCAGGAGAACTGGGAGAAGTAGCAAAACGTTCCCTGTCGGTAGTTTGAGCTCATCACAAGACGGGACAAGCCCTCGCCCCTTAGCCCCGGACAACGTCCAGACCTGCCAAAACTGTGTAACGCCTTTCGCTGCAAGCCGCTGAAAGCCTAAACCCCACAATCTCTCAGACCAAAATCCCCAAGCCTCGCAACCATCTCTAACTGGTACAGTGCAGGAGGCGGTGCAGCGCGTGCTGATGAATGGTGCCTTGCCACGCAGCTGGGTGTTTCACCAGACCTCAGGGTCCTTGAATTGGAATCTACATTGACTGCATACTACAAAAAAGGATGGATGTAAGAGCTCGGCTT